GTATCTCTGTGCCTCATTTATCAAGTTATCAAGATCATTTTATGAGGTTAAGGATTATATTTTCTAAACTGTTTTGTCATTTTTATTAGAAGGAATACACTGTTGCTCTTGTTAGCAATTGTTTCTCAGTATATCTTGAACAAAACATAGCCTTTTCTTTTAATCTGTCTTTATATAGTTATATATATTTTCTACAGTTGGATCTCTTTGAGATTATATCAAGTGATGTTCTTTTTTCTTCTACTTTAAAAAAATTAAAGAATATATGCTAATATTTCCCATTGTGATTGGAAATTTTTCTTGGGTTTAAACCAGATCTTACTTCATATATTCTGAAGCTATGCTGTCATGGGCATTAAGTTCATGATTGATAGATCATACAGATTTTATTTTTATCAATATAAATACTAAAATCTGAGTGTCTAATCATTTTTTTCCTCAAAGTTTCTCTTCTTTTAGATTAGACCTTTTTTTCATGCTTTTTATTAAATTTCTATTTGCCTGAGGTACATCTCTTCTAAATAACATGACTTTTATTTTTATGACTAATCTGTAAATCTACAGCTTTCAACTGTGTAAGAAAACTATTTACAGTAATTATAATCACTAATGAATTTGCTCTTTGTATATTTCAATGCCCTTCCTTTTTTCTGTCCTGCAGTTTGAATTGTTCAATTTTTATGGTACTTTTATTTTCCTTCTTGTGGTTTTGGAATGACAAATCTTATTTCCAGACCTCTAACAGATATTTTAAATTATTGCAACTACATTTATTATTATCTACAATTTAACAGTAAGATTTAGCAATATTATTCCTCAAACATAGTATCTCTAAATGTATATGTTTCAAAAGTTCAAAATGCATGTTTTAAAATAAGTTCTGTAGATTTTACAAAGATTCAGATTTTCTTTTATATAATATTGCTAAATGATTTGGGATTTTTGTTCTGTGTTTTTTTCTGGCTTCCTTTCATTTCCCTTCCAGATACAGGAACTTAGGTGGGCCTTATGTATTTATTTATATGTGCATTTTGTGGTGTGTATGTGTGTGTGTGTGTGTGTGTGTGTGTATTCGCGTGCACACGTGCGTATGTTAAATGAATGAAAATATCACTTCTGTGCCATTAAAATTCCCAGCAAAACAACTAGCAAATGTTTTTGTTTACTAACATGCAAAATTGCAGGCAGCTAGAGCTGGAAAGAACCTTTGAGCTTATCATATTTATCTTAATAATCAATTCATTAACTCAACAAAATTTTTGTACTCATCACATTTCCAGAAATGTAGTTGGTTCCAGGGAGACAAAGATGAACAAATAAGATATGAATATTAGTTGAGAAGGCTTACGTACCACTGGGGAGAGAGGCATGGCACACCAATATGTGTGCATAGAGGTCAAGGTGACAGCCTAGGAGAAGTGTAGCCCTAAGTATGTGCCTCTGACTCAGCCTACTAGCTTCCCCTCAACCAGTGTAGTTCCTAACACATCTGGTCTGTGTTCATCTGCCTTCTGGTTGAGCATCAGTAGTGCACATTTGGACAGCAATACTCAAAAGCAAATTTATTCTTGTTTGGCCCAAATCCATCTTTTAACCTCTTCCATTCTTTGGTCCCAATGTTGGTTTCTAGAGCTCAATAAAGTATATACAAACCTTCACTTATAGCCCTTCAGATATTTGACTTTTCAAAGCCTTTTCCTTTTATGGTTAAGTATTCAAATTTTCTGTATTTCTCCCCCTCCTTGATCTTCTTATAGTGCTGCTCTCTAGAGTGTCAATATGGTCCTAAAACTATGCTTTCCAAACTATATAAAATCCTGCAGACATACTCACTTTAAGAAAAAGTCCAGACAAAAAGATGTTTGTTTACTGAGACTAGATCACACTAAGGCCCTGGAGTTATATCATAATCTCTCATTTGAACAACTCATTGGTTCTTGGCCTTTTTTTCTAAATAAGATGCCATAAAAGCATTAAACACAACAGGTTAACCATATTGAAAATAAAACAGGAAATGATAGAAAAATTGATTAATAATCACACTAAATATGCCAAACACTGTCAGAGTGAAAGAGTCTTATATGATTGCTAGTGCTAGTACATGCTTTTGGTTCCCAGGTGGTAGTAGTTTGCTTTGGTTCATATTAAAATTGGGGTCAACTAAAATCCCTAAATTTTTTTTCATAGAAAAAGCTTTGAAGTAAAATGTGCCAATTCTTTATTCCAGTTACCATTCATCTTACGGGTTTCTGCTTGATCATGTCATTGAAAAGCTTATCTGGTCCACCTGGTTTTCTGCCAACTGCAGATCTATATCACTGCCTTTTAGTGGTCCTGAAAGGAATTGCTCCAAGTGTGCAAGGATGAAGAATTTTTTTTAACTGTGTAAAATTTATTTTGAATTGATTTAGCTCAATATCAGTTATACACAATTAATTTTTCAAAAGGTTCATAAAATAATTTTCTTATCCAATACTTCATTAATATCTTATGGTATCACTTGAATACAATTTCAAGATATAAAGCATCATTTATCCTCCTCTAAATTGACACTTAAAGGAATCCTGAGGGTAAATCATGAAAATGGAGAACAACAGCATTTGGTCTGTTAAGCGATGTTTAGCCATATTGAATCAACTGTATATACTGCTACCCACAGACTCACTCCACAAACATATTACATCACAGGTTTTCCTTTAAAAAAATATGGGATATAAACCCAAACAAAGGTAGGCACGTGGTTCTATCAAATTCCTTTAGTTACCTAGCTTCTCTCCACCCTAAAAACAACTGAGGGAGAACTGAATGGGTATCACTCGTGGAGTAAGGCCCTGAAAGAGCTTAGTAACTTCTAGAAAGGAGCACTTGTCCACAAGCAGGGCAAGTTAGCAGATGGAAACACATTTCTAATATAGTGATATGTCCAATGTGCAGCAGGAGGTCCAAGGAGACAGAAATTGATTCATGTGGCAATGGCAGGTGGGGGAAGGACTCAGGAACACTTTGCAGACCAGGTGATTGAATTAAGTCAGGCGTTCTTTAACAAATCAGACAAAGAAGAGTACTACGGAAAGAAGAGCTTGCTCATAGGAGAGAAAGAAAGGCTTAAACAGCAAGTGTCCTGATGAGTGAGAAGTTTGCAGTGGCAGAAAGAGACTGAAGGACTTAATGTGGAGGGAGATTGGGGCTGGGAAGGCTAGCAGCAGCTGGGGCGTCTAGGTCAGTGTGCACCACGCTGAAATGTTTTAGACTCCATCCCCACTCCCACGGAGAGGATTGCACATCTCTGCACAGTTTTGTAGCATGATCCTGAGACTTGCTTTTTAGATTTTTATTAAAGACTAAATTAATGGTATTTCTTGCAGATAAGAAAAGAAGACACTAACTCCTTGCTCCTCAAGTTTCCTAAACAAAATCCAAGCTGGCTGCTGTGTCTTTAGATGCCAGGTAGATGTTCCCACCTAGCCTCGTCTGTCCCTTCATTTCCATTGTATGTAATAGCCATAAAAATAAGCAATTTAAAACCAAATTGGGTAAAGAATATGTTGGTGAATTTCTAATGAAAATTAGAATAAATATTGTTGAAGGTTATGGATTAAAAACTCATGGATATTCCAATGTCATTTTCAGTATTTAAAAAAAAATACATCATAATTCACAGTGAAAATTGATTATTTGTAAGATTTTTAAGAGCATTTATATTTGGGCAGAAGTATGGAACTTTTTCTTAGACTAATCAGAATGTGCAGATAACCTGTGAATATTTAAAGGAAATCACAGGCCATAGCCACCACATAATTATTAATGCATTATATGTTAACAGACTTTATAAGGAAAACAAAATGCTCCTGACTTCTAAACTAATGAAATTGTAGTTTATACTCAAGTTTGTAAATAAATTTTCGTTTACCTACATGTGTTAATCACTCCCTTTTAAAAGCTTTCTTTTAATTTTCTATTTTTAAAACTTTTTGTTATAATCCATCATCAATGGAGCCCATATACAGAGCACACATGCTTTGTGCCATCATCAGAAGAAAATAGACATCAGTGAAAATGAAATTTGAAATAGCTTAGTAGCTTCAGAAATGTTTTGCAAAGCACTTTTCCTTATTTGTAGTAAAAGCACCATAACGTGCATGTGTAATGAAAATGTTAAAAAAAAAAAATGATTTGGTTTGGAGTTTGGCATTCATTGCTTATATTGTAAGTTATCAAAAATGGTTTTTAAAGAGCATGTGATATTACTTTTGTTTATCATAGAATAGGTATTCTATTTTTTTATAAGACAAAGTTGTGATATTTTCCTTTGTGAGGTCATGTTTGACAGATCTTTCAACATTTGAAGTGGCAAAACATTCATTTGAAATACTTTAAGAAATATTGCAGTAATAGTCTTCACAGGGATTTCTAAACTATTTCCGTCTTAAAGGCAGTTGATTCACTAAGTATTTTTACAGAAACAAAGATGGCAAAATGTCACATGCTTGTAGAACCACAGTTTCATGCTAGTCCCAAATGGCTTATTTTTCAAACAGAGTCATCTCCAAATCTGCATGGGAGGACAAGCCTCTTGCAAAGCAGAAAAGGAAAGACAATAGTTAAGCAGAATAAACATAAGAGGGTTTTCACTGAAGCAGATTTTGCACAACAGTGTCGCCAAGTAACTGTTGTCAACATCTTTTCAACAGCCGAAATGGCATCTGCAAAGCCTGAAGATTTGAAAGGGGGGAAAAAAATATACTTATGCCAAATGTATGTATAAAAAATCTGTTCTGAGGTTTGTGAGAAATAAGTCAAATCTCCCTTTTCCCCCAAAGTCTGCATGGTGTATGTGCTAAGTTACTGAATTCATCCTTCATGCAATCCCAGTTTATTAAAGAGGTTAAAAATTTATAAAACTCTGATGGGATATGGTTTTAATGCTTCATCACACTACCCATCATTTGCTTTTCAATCTAGATCAGAATGATCTTTCCTACTTCCCTGCAATCACCTACCTGCACAGCTAATATTTTCTGAATACCCTCCTGAGATTCTGCCTGGAACTTGTCCAGCTGTATCTGGCTGAAGAGGACCACCAGTCTGAAGTACTCCTGCCACTGTTTGTGAATGTTTCTCTGCAGCTGACAGAGCTAAAGGCAAGAGGGAGGGGAAAAAAAACACAAGTCAGAGGAGGAGAGGAAATTAATGGCAGTGTTCAAGAAGAATGATGGAGGGAAATATAGAAAGCAGTCAATGGCCCATTCTGCTCTGTACGGACCTGACAGGAATTTCACACTCCCTTGATTTTTCAGCCCACTCATGTGCATTCATCAGAAACCAGTCACATCTGGCCGCCAGGATGGGGGGTTAATTTTCTCTAAATGCCTCAGCAGTTTTGTTCTAGCTGAGGCAAACTCTGTGACTGCAAAGCTGATGAGTAAAATATTTCTACTTCACCCAGTTTAACTCAAAACCGATAGCCTCGGGACATATTGAACCTTTCTTTAAAAAAATAATCTTTTGAAGCTTTTTTGAATGGCACATCAGGTCAGGCCAAAGTTTAAAAATGTAACTTGAAGACTTTGATGGACATTGTGGTTTCTTTCTTTCTTTTTTTTTTTTCCCCCTCATAAAGCTTACCATTGCCTGGCAATGTGTGCTTCAGACCATGACAAAACTAAAGAGAATTAACTTAGCCATCAACTGCAGAGGGAGAACAATAACAGGAAAGAAATTTCCAGCTAGAACTCCTTATTACTCTACCTCCCTCTGACCATGTGACATGGAAACATGTCACTGCATGGGAATACAGTGGGCGCAATGTTTAGCAATGGAATGTTTCATACTGGATCTCTACAGTGAAAGAAAGAGTTCCCCCATGCAGTGTTCTCTCTCTCTCTCTCTCTCTCTCTCTCTCTCTCTCTCTCTCTCTCTCTCTCTCTCTC